ACTCATTGGTCATTGTAACTAAATCTCAACAAGTGTTTCTTAAAAAGCTCCCATGAATCAATAGTTTTCAATTTCATTTACTTTATAACATTAAAGGCAGTGGACAGCAGAAAGACAAGTACGGGCTTTGGGGTCAGACACACCCAAGTTCAAATCCTGGCTCTACTTTGATCAAACTGTTACAATCAAACATCAGTTATTTATTTATTCTCCCTGAATCTCCAATCCCCCTTAAACAAAATGAGAGTAAATCCTTCTCTCACTGATTTGTGAGCATTAAACTCAATACTACTGCAATAGCAAATCATCAAATGTATCCATTTCTGACACCCATTTAGGCTGTAGTGACCTCAGCTAGGTGTTCCTGGGCTCACTCCCTCAACTGTACCCATCTTATAACTATATATATATGTAAGCTGTAAACACAAAAGGAAATATAAAGGGTTATTTCATGAAACTCTTCTAAGTAAGAAATACTGACTTCCTTCTCCAACTTTCTATTATCTCATTTTATATTCTTTGAAGAAAGTAAGATTGATTAACCCCATTAGCTGAACATAGGTATCACTTTATGATCAATCTTGATCACATCTACAGTAATGACTTAAGACATCTATAGTCCCTTACCATAAAGATTGCCACAGTCAACAGTGAGCATTAATATTCAAAACATGAGTACATTTTAATTAAAAGCAATAATTCCCTTTCATTCTTTTAAAGCTATGACCAGTCTACATGAGCAACAACTTACAAAGGCTTAGAAACAATGCACAGAGCCAGTTCAAGAGATCTTAAATGCCATTAGCTGAGATGAGAAGAGAGAGGGGATATCTCCCTCTCCTATGTTTAGGCCTCACTATAGCCCCTTACAGGAAAACGTCAATAATTCTGTTGTTTCTAGAGCTGGCTATTTAGATAAACTTAGACCAACCCTGGACAAGAATACATCTGGAAAAGAAAAACATTAGGACGAACTTTAGATAAATAGATTTAAGCCATAAAAGACACACTTCAGAGTTAAAGAGATGTGGACTTAATCTTGACTTTGTCATTTCCTAGTTGAGTAGCCTTGGGCAATTTCTTAACAGTTTCCATATCTATAATTTGAAAATAAAATTTATGACTGTCTTCAGGATTACATAAGAATAATGTATATTAGGCAGATAACAGTGTCTGGTATAAACATTTGCTTCTGCATCATGACTGATGGGCATACTCCAACCCCCTCCTTGATGACCTGAAATAGTGACAAGCCCTTCCAGTAAAGGCTGAAAAATCAGACCTGGGCCTTTCCCAACAGTGTCTCAAAGGGATTAATTTGGGAAACTGCACATCGTATTCTCCTTGTGACAATTCTTAATGCACATTAGGATATTAAAAGCTCAGAAAATTCTTACAGTAAAAAAAAGTCTATTTGATTTTGTTTAACTTGCTGTTTTCTAAATTTATCTGACCCTTTGTTTTTCACAGTAACTACTCCACTTTGCATCTTGAAAAATGCTACTCCAGCAAACAAGCCGATAAAAATTGCTAAGCGGGGGGCGGGGAGGGGGGATGAGAAAAGATATCAAAATACTCCAGAATACCTCATTCTTTTTCAGGTTACAAAAAATTTCCAAAAACCCTTAAGAATATATTTTCTGCCACAGTTGTGCTTTAAAGATCCATAAAATGACAATTCTCAGCCTTTTTGGTCTCAGAAACACTTCACATTCTTAATTATTGAGGATAGAGAAATGGGCATTACAAAGACGCACAGGAAACTTTCGTGGGTGTTGGATATGTTCATTTTCTTCACTGAGGAGACAGATGATATAAGGGTGAAAGCTTATGTGCTATCTTGGCTAGGCTATGGTACCCAGTTTTTTGGTCAAACACTAATCTAGCTGTTACTGTGAAGGTATTTTGGAGGTATATATGATTAACATCTACAACTGCTTGATTTTACGAACATTACCCTTGATAACAGGGGTGAGGTGGGAGGGGCTCCACCAAATCAATTGTAGGCTTGAAGAGCAAAAACTGAGATTTCCTTGAGAGAAAGGAATTCTGTCTTAAGACGGTAACAGAAATCCCACCTGAGTTTCCTAAGAAATCTTGCCAACCAGCCCTACAAATTGTGAAGTCCAGACTGCAGTATTAACTCTTGCCTGAGTTTCTACCCTGCTAGCCTGCCCTCTATATTTCAACTTGCCAGTGAACATATGTCAAATTTATTAAACTGTATACTTTACCTACGTGCAGTATATTGTATATCAATTATATCTCAAAAATTACTGAGAATCTCAAAGAGCTTTTGCTTATGTGGTTCTCTCTGTTGTTATCTACTAAATTAGAAAATAGCACAGGGGCCCCTGGGTGGCTCAGATGGTTGGGCATGTGCTTTCAGCTCAGGTCATGATCTCCAGGTCCTGGGATGGAGCCCCACATCAGGCTCCCTGCTCGGCGGGGAGGCTGCTTCTCCATCTCCCTCTGCCTCTCCCCCTGCTTGTGCTCTATCTCTCTCCCTCTCAAATCAATAAATAAAATCTTAAAAAAAAAAAAAGGCAGAGAAATTTTTAAAATATTTAATACGTATACTATACTAGTATATATTTCTATTATGTTGATGCATACACTTTTTATTTTGAAAATAAAAGCTATATTTTCTACAATAAAATGGTGAGAAGAGTGGTATTTTAAAATATCTTTGGAAATCCCTTCAATAGCTGGCTTAAAAGAAGATAACCGGCTTTGCACATCTGCTTTAGCATTCAGTACACTGTAATATGTTGTTTTGGCTGAAGTATATAAAGAAAATCTGGCCTCAATTAGATACATAGTTGGAAAATGGAGGAGTATTTTAACAACCCTTCAAGTCTATTCTTCTCTGATAACACACCAAAACTTGACAAGTTGTGGCGTTGCAATGTGGAATCTGCAACTTCATCAACAAACTTTCAAATACTGTTTCATTAACACCTATTGATCAATCTTGAATCCTGAATGGACCTTTTACCTATATATTGTCATACCACACACTGATCTTCAGGAAATATTGATCCACAGACTCAAGCAGATCTTCCAAATATTGACATATTTCATTATATAATATTTTAAAAATCATTACTAATATCAGCAATAATCTAATCAGAAAAGTCTTTAAATATTGGAAAATGTCAAGCTCATGATAAAACACAACTTTTCCAGAATTCTAATTTTTGCTTGAAAGTTCAAATTTTATCATCACCCACAAATGCTGTCAGCTGTTTTCCTTGAAGTGACAGGCTTGCTTCATTCATTTTCAGAGAAATGTCTGCCAAGCACCCAAGTCTGAATAAACATAATTTTTCTGTCAATTACTCTTTCAAAAATAAAAATGCTATTCCAGATTGGTGGTCACCAGAAATTGGGGGCAGGGAGGTAGCAGGTGGGCAAAATGTGTGAAAATGGTCAAAAGGTACAAACTTCCAGTCATAAAATAAATAAGTCATTGGGATATAATGTACAGTGTGGTGACTATAGTTAACAATACTATATTGTATATATGAAAGTTGCTAAGGCAGTAGATCTTAAAAGTTCTCATCACAAGAAAAAAAATGTAACTATGTGTGGTGGTGGATGTTAACCAGACTGCTGTGGTGGTCATTTCACAGGATAAAACATCAAATCATGTTGTACAGCTAAAACTAATATAACACTATATGTCATATTTCAAAAAAACTTTTTTGAATGAGAGCTAAATATTTAAAAATTTTTTTCATGTTTTCCATATAAAAAAGTGGCTAGTTTGTCTCACAGACATTTTTCTCAAACCAACCGTCGTAACTCAGTATGTGGCAGAAGTGCTATACGGTATATGTCCCATTTTGTCACTCGATATTAAAAAGACATGCACTGAAATGTCAAAATTTGCCGGAAGTAATCATTTTTTGCTGCACTTTCTTAAGACTACTCTTTTGTTGCGACCACGTGGTGGAGAAGAACACAATGACCACCAGCATGGTTTGATGCCATTTCCTTGTCTTAATCCCACAGGTCCCCTGCAAGAGTTTCAGGGAGCCCCACAAAGCAAACTCTGAAAGCAGCTTCTCTAAATATAAGTGGAGGCTGAAAACAAAAATATTAGCAGCTCCACAGTTTGTGTAAGATGAAACCTTAAATAGAAATGGGGAGCTGAGGAATTTACCTCAAAGCTGCATTTGCAAGTCCATTTTTCCTTATGCTTATCAGAAGGGATATATTTGTAGGTAACTAAACATCAATGAGTGAAATTTACATACTACTCTGGTTATCATGGACAGTTCACAAAACTATGGCCTCACTATTAAGTGGCATCATAACTAAATTTCTGGGCGAATTTCTAAAAACTAAATTCAATGTTTAACATTTTATTCAATGTAAAACTAAGCAGAAATAGTTCCTAAGTTTTAAAATAGCCTGCTTTTAGGGGCATCTGGCTGGCTCATGTGCAGCATTTGACTCTTGATCTCAGGACTGTAAATTCAAGCCCCATGTTAGGCATGGAGCCTGGTTTAAAAAAAAAAAGGCCCACTTTCAGTTTAAACACTGCTAAATACTGAACTGTAGTCATTTGACTTATAATGCCAGAAAACTGTAATTCAAGTGAAATTTACCACATACAATATTGGGGCAAATGTTTATAATCACTGTACCTTCTAAGTTTAGCATTTACGTGCTTGAAAGATACACTGGGAGAAAACACGGATATTCAAAATACAGTATCTATTAACACCTCTTCAACAAAAAATACTGTCCTCTGATGGAATCAAGAAGACTGTCAACCACAAGCCAAGAAAAAAAAAGTTGACTTAGGAAATGTTTCTAATAAAGCCAAGTGAGTATATGTTAACATTCATGGGAATAAAAAATATTTTTCGCAACACATAAATTCTAATTATGGAATCCTATACCCTAATAATTCACGTTGTGAAATTACATTTCAACCCACACAATTTAAACTGTGTGATACCAAAATGAGAACAAACAAGTCAACTTACTCGATCTGCTAATCCTCCAGGAACGATCGTCCTCACAACCACACCACTTGATTTTCCTCCAACTATTCCAAAACCTAATCCAGAGCCATCATTAATGAGCTCAACATCTTCAATATGCCCCCAATGAACCTATAAATCAATGGCATATAAAAGCCAACATGTTAGTGAAACAGATACTTAGCTTTCCAATACAATAATTACTAAAGTAAAAGATATACCACAAACTGAACATGCCTACAAGTAATCAGGGCAACTTTCTAGAGGCTGGGAGATATATAAAGATGATTAGATGGCCCCCACCCTTGAGAATCATATAACCCAGTAGAAAGATAATCTAAAACATAAATAATTAAAATGAGACAAGAATACTGAATCATAAAACATATAGCTCAAAGAGGAAAGAGACTTGCTGCCTCATTCTCCAGTCTGTACCCAATATCAACGCCGAGCACACAGGAGGAACAAGTAAGTATGTGTTTACCTGAATTGAAAGAGAATCTCAAAATATTATAAAGGATGGGTGGGGGGTAGAGATAAGAAGTCAAATCCAACTAAGAGTTATGGAAAGCTTTGACGAAAAAGTCACGTGTTAATTGCACTACAGGGAGAAAAAAATAAAAACACATATCCAAGCAAAAGAGAAATGTAAGAGCAAAGCGGGACCAAATAACAGAATGGGTCAAGACATGGCCAAAAGATTGGATTTAGGGGCACCTGGGTGGCTCAGTCATTGGGTGTCTGCCTTAGGCTTGGGTCGTGGTCCCAGGATCCTGGGATCAAGCCCCATGTCGTGTTCCCTGCTCAGTGGGAAGCCTGCTTCTCCCTCCCCCACTCCCCTGCTTGTGTTCCCTCTTGCTGGCTCTGTTAAATAAATAAAATCTTAAAAAAAAAAAAAAAAAAAGATTGAATTTACTTAACTGGATAAGCAAAGAAATAACCGAAGGTTTTAAAAAGGAAGGACAGGGATGCCTGGGTGGCTCAGTCAGTTAAGGGTCTGCCGTCAGCTCAGGTCATGATCCCAGGGTCCTGGGATCGAGCCCCTCATCAGGATCTCATCGGGATCCCTGCTCAGGAGAGAGTCTGCTTCTCCCTCTGCCTGCCACTCCCCCTGCTTGTGCTCACGCTCTCTCTCTCTCTCTCTGACAAATAAAATCTTTTAAGGAAAAAAAAAAAAGGAAAGAAGGACAGGAACAAAGCAGTGGTTAAGGAAGATTATTGTGGCAGCAATATGAAGGATGAAATGCTGAGGACATGAGGTAAAGAGACTAATTAAGCAGGCTCTTATGTGGGAGAGGAAAGGCAGGCCCCACTGAAGACATGAGCAACAGGACTACATGAATCAGACTGAGAGACGTTAAGCCTTTTCCCTCTAACTAGTAGGCTTCCATCAGGAATGTGCATTAGGGGCACCTGGGTGGCTGAGTTGGTTAAGCATCCAACTCTAGATTTCAGCTCAGGTCATAATCTCAGGATGGTGAGATCAAGCTTCTGGCTCTGTGCCCAGCAGGGACTCTGCTTAAGATTCTCTCTCTCCCCCTCTGGCCCTCCTCCCTGTCCGCTCTCTCTCTAAAATAAATAAATCTTTTAAAAGAAAGAAAGAAAGAAAGAAAGGAAGGGAGGGAGGGAGAAAGAAAAGAAATGTACATTAAATTGGAGAATAAAATTCTCCATCTCAAGCTCAACAGGGTATATTTACCAGTTTTACTATTATACTGAATTGGAAGGTTAAAATATTATACTAAGTTGCAAGGTTAAAATAACCAGGGATATTAGGATATGTAATAAATCCAGGTCTGAAACAATATCTAGTATCTGGGAAGTAACAAGTTTTGCTAAAATATACCTGAATTAAGGATCACAGCTAATATTCATAGAGTGTATATTCTGCACTGGGCACTGTGCTTAGCTCTTCACGTGCATTCTCATTTAATCCACATATGAAACCGTGGCTGCGGTTATTAGTTTCAAGGAAAAGCAGAAGAAATTGAGCAGCGGAGGAATCAAGGAAACTTCCTGATAGGACACAGCTAGGAAGTGGAAGAACTGGACTTGACCCCACCTTAGCCTGGCACCAGAGCCCCTGTTCTTAACCACTATGCAAAGCACTTTCCCACTTTGTTCATTGTATTTATTATGTAAATTGTGCTGTATAAATATCACTGATTACAACAGGGAAAATGTCTATACGTTAATTTGTGTTGTGACCTTGTACTATACCCAGACGGTCTATTGTTTCTTTCACCCCAATGAATGAAAATTAATCAGCCAGCACTTAGTGTTATAAGAAAATAAGATTTATTAGCTTGCATTCTGAAGATGGAGGCCAAAATCTGTAAAACGTTATAAACCAAGTTGAAAGATTCCCAAAAGAGACATATGCTTTTATTATTTTAAATTGCTCAGTATACATGTTTACATGAAAAGGAAAACTTCTATAATTTTACAGTGTCAACAACCTAGTCATAAACACCCAGTATCATTTACAAAGATAATGTTTTTGAAATAAATAAAATAACTAAATCTTACTGAAGATACTCAACAGTAAATCTCTAATAAAAACTCTCAGCTTAATTAAGGAACTGCCTACATCTCCAAGGAACACAAGACTGTTTCCATCACCAAATAAGTTATGCATAATACAACAATTCACCTTCTACATTAAATAATAACCTTAAATAAGGAGAACCACAGGACACTGAAAAAACAAAACAGAATCTTCAGTGAAATATCTTGTTTATTATGCTAATGCTGTATTTAGAGATGTGATCATCTTTCCTAAAGTATGACAAGTAAAATAACACCTTCTAAATGTCTCTACACTTCTTAAGATCAGTAGCATTAATTCAAAATTAAGTTATTTTTCCAAATTTGCAACTCACTGTTTCAGGCAGCGTAGGATCAGTTAGGCTGGCAGAGGTTTTTGTGTGGGCCAGTTCCCTGGCCACAACCAGATGCAGAGATCCAGTGGTTTGTTGTAATAATGCAATCGCTTGCTGATGGGAAATGTTCTGATCCAGTGGTGTGTCATTAATAGCCAATATTTGGTCATTTTCCCTTAATCTTTGATCCCTTGATAGAATAAGAAAATTCTGTTACAAATGATATAATAGCATCTTTTAAAAAAAAATCTATTATTCAAGCGAAGCTGTTTATTTCTTATGGCACTACTTAGGACAGTTATTCAAATAATTACATAACAGAGCTCTTCAGAATGCTTCTCATCAAAGCACTTATTAGCTAATTAACCGATTAAGTAGTGCACCCGTAAATGTGTGCATGCACACATGCCCGTGCATGTATACAGACACACAAAACCATTTGGCTACAAAAATAACCAAAAGCAATGTGTGGGGCCCCACAGCTAAGGTTTTGCTAATAAGAACACTGTCCCCATTAGTGCATAAACCCTATACTTCTGAACCTCTTCCAATCTGACTTCAGCATATACCACACCAGGGCAACTGTATCCTCAAATTCACTGATAACCGTCTCTCCAGGAGAGTCATCCTGTCTCCATCAGCCTTTGCTTCTCTGACATTTGTCAACTGTCAGGCCAAACTCTCCTTGAAAATCAACAGATGTTACTTCTAAATCTATATTTAAGCCCTTCTCTCTGACCCAGGCCCCAACTGCCCAACTGCTAACCAAAGTAAAAAATAATAATAATAATAATAACTGGGTTTTTTTTTTCAGATTTTATTTATTTGAAAGAGAGAGAGAGAGCATGAGATGGGAGAAGGTCAGAGGGAGAAGCAGACTCCCCATGGAGCTGGGAGCCCGATGCGGGACTCAATCCCAGGACTCCAGGATCATGACCTGAGTTGAAGGCAGTCGCTTAACCAACTGAGCCACCCAGGCACCCCAATAATAACTGTTTTTAAAAGAAATTAGTAAAACCTTAAGGAAAAAACCCCACTATTATAGTTACTATTTACTGAGCACTTGTTAGGAGCCACAAACTGTGCTAGATGCTTTACAGGCATTATCTCATTTAAGCCTCACAATCATCTCTTACTTAGAGGGGAACCTGGGGGGCTCAGTCAGTTAAGCATCCAACCCTTGATTTCAGCTCAGGTCATGGCCTCAGGGTTCTGAGATGGAGCCCAGCATGTTAAGCCCTTTGTCGGGCTCTGCACTCAGCATGGAGTCTGCTTGCCCCTCCCCCTGCTCCTGCCTACACGCTCTCCCTCTCTCTCTCAAGTAAAATCTTTTTTAAAAAGCACTTATATTTTACAGGCAAGGAATTAAAGCCTGGACAAGTGTAGCATCTCACCTTAGTCAGCAGACTCTGAACCATACTCTTTCACTTTAGGATTTACTCTGGTTTATGTATTTGACTTCACTATCTCCATCTAAGGCAGATCCTTATCTATTGCCTAAACCGAACTTTCAAAATTTCTCAAGGTTTATTTTGCTAGGTTCTCTTTATGCTGGTATCACCCAACTTGAATATGTATAATGATTATCTGAGATTACTGACCAATAAGGAGAGAGCCAAAGGAAAGAGAACAAATTCTTGTCATCATAGTTTCATAAATGAACATTATTAACCTTCAAAATACAAAATCCTCCTGAGAAGGGGTTTATCTAATTCATTAATCTAATTCATAAATTCGGAATCATGAAAACTCCATTATATTGCCCCTATCTTTCTTAGGTCACAGCAGATTCAGCAAAACTTTATTATAGATCAGAATTTGGTAACTTTTTTTTTTTTAAAGATTTATTTATTTTAGAGACAGAGTGAGAACTGGGGGAAAGACAGAGGGAGAGGGAGATCTCTGGCAGATTCCCTGCTGAGCAGAGGCTGACGCAAGGCTCAATCCCATGACCCTGAGATCCTGACTTGAACCAAAATCAAGAGGCTGATGCTTAACCGAATGAGCCACCCAGGTGCCTCTGGCAACTTTTAAAAATTATTTTTAAAGACTTTACTTTAAAATTTACTAAGTAGGGGCACCTGGGTGGCTCAGTGGGTTAAAGCCTCTGCCTTCGGCTCAGGTCACGACCCCAGGACCCGCATCGGGGCTCTCTGCTCAGCAGGGAGCCTGCCTCCCCCTCTCTCTCTGCCTACTTGTGATTTCTGTCTGTCAAATAAATAAAAAATCTTTAAAATTTACTAAGTAAAATTTACTAAGTAATCTACACCCAACATGGAGCTCAAACTTACAGGCCCCAGATCAAGAGTTGCATGCCCTACACACTGAGCCAGCCGGGTGCCCCCAGAATTTGTAACTTCTGAGTTCAAAGACACAGGGTAAACTTGGTTGGTATTCAAAGGCCTGTGCATGTGGTCCCCAAGGACTCCTTCCAACTGGGCTTCCTCAGCACATAAACCCTTTTTCCAACTATTGTGATCTACTCTTTCCTGCTCAAACATGTCTGCCATTTCCCTCTCTTGTGTAGACTGTTTCCTCCATCTCTGACACCCTTTGATTCTGCTCAGCCAAATCAATCTACCTGCTGCGATCCAGCTGAGTGTCAATCTCTCTTCCCACCCTCCCCATCACTTACCTCATTATCACGGGGATCTGACCCACTCATTTACCACTCACTGAACATTCATACTAAATACGCCGTCGACAGAGCTAGTTAAATCCTACTAACTTTTAAGTTTTCTGAGGATAGACACTCATGTTTTAGATTCTCTTTTGAAACTAGCAAGTTAGATGTGAAAATATCTATTTTTTAACGTCAAAATCATTGGTGTCTCTCCTAATAAATCAGGTACCATTAAAAATGCTGCTTAGGGGCACCTGGGTAGCTCAGTTGGTTAAGCATCTGCCTTCCATTCAGGTCATGATCTCAGGGTCCTGGGATCGAGTCCCACATTTGGATCCTAGCTCAGCAGGGAGCCTGTTTCTCCCTCCCCTCCCCCTACTCATGTGCACATGCGCACGTTCGCTCTCTGACAAATAAATAAAATCTTGAAAATAAAAATAAAAATAAAAATGTTGCTTATACATCCTGGGGTACCTGGTGGCTCAGTCAGTTGAGTGTCTGACACTTGATTTCAGCTCAAATCATGATCTCAGGGTCGTACGACTGAGCCCCACATTGGGCTTGCAATGGGCATGAAGCCTGTTTGGAATTTTCTCTCTCCCTCCTCCTGCCTCCTCATTTGCTCTCGTGCTTTCTCTTTAGAAAAAATAAAAAATAAAAATGTTGCTTATACATCCTTTTTTTAATATTAGGAAAGATTATTATGTTGAGCTAAGGATAGAGAAATTGTATATGCTCCATGACCTTGTTTTTATAAAAAGAAAACATTCTAAAGTATTTCCTAGTTATCTTAGGGTTGTCAAAGTCCTAGAGTTCGCTTATTATATTTCTGTATTTTGTAATTTTCTATTATATGTATGTATTACTTTTAAAATTTTGAGGTATATATTTTGTAAATTGAGAATGTTGCTTGTGAACCTTTCCTGAGTCCTACATTTCTTTTTAAATGTAACCACTATGGATGATACTAGAAATTACTTCCTTTTTCCACCTCCAATGTTCTTCTTTCTCTGACTTCTTTACCTAAATTCCTATTCACAGCTTGTTCATTAAGGAAAACTTCTTAATTAATCCCAAATGAATGAGATGTTCTTGACTCTTTTCAACCCTGATGTAACTCATTTTGTGTAAGTTCTTAATTTACTCACGTTCAAATATTCTATTTTCTGAAAATCAATCTATTTTAATCTACCTTCCCCCCTTACCCAATAGACTAGCAGGACACTGCATTTCCTTCCAGTTAGTATCTGCTCAGGGAATATAACCTCAACCCCAGATAAACAAATGTAGAGAAGAGAAATCTGCAAAATATGATTTTGATGCATTCTTAAGTTGAACAGAATTAGTTTTACTGCTACTTTTATAATTTAACTCCCACATGCTATTTATATATATTGAATTCATATTTTTCATTTAAGGGGAGACAACTTCTTGTCTCTCTATTGCAACTTTCGAAAATAATGGATTCTATTACTCTGAGAGCCAACGGGTCTTAGGTAAGCTCCTAAAATAACACAGTTCTATGTGGAAAGTCCTCAGGAGAAAAGAAGAACTGATCATGAAAACCATTTAACATGATCTAGAAGGTCAAGTATGACCGAACCCACCTGCTTCCAGTTCTTTGTCGTACTCTCTTACACTAAGCTCCACAGCAGGTAAGTATCAGCCTCACTCCAAGAATAGGAGCTGTGTTCCTTCTCCCCATAAGACTACTGCTTAAGACAGTCTCTTTATTCCTGACACCTTCTGCTCTTTGCAGACTCCATTGTCTCAAGTTTCCCTCTAAGCACTGCTGTCTCTGGGAAGCCACCTGACTGCTTAGCCTTGGCCAAGGCTCTTTACACACTAACATATCAAACTTCTCTTTTGGAAAATGCTCACCTCAATCTGTAAGTACAGACTTAGTACAGAATACCTCAGACATAAGGACTGACCACAAAAAGATTGCACAACATTGAAGATACACTAAAAACTACTGAATTGTACACTTTAAAATGCTGACATTTATGGTATGTGAACTGTATACCAATAATAATTTTTAAGTTAAGAAAAAATAGGAAGGAAAGTTGGGCCAACAGAAGTTAAATAGGCTTTTTGTCAAGGGACAGAATAGCCTCAAGTAAACTAAAGGTAAGTGACCCTAAGTCTGAACTCACCTAGGTTGTCTAGGTTTGCCAGAATAGCCCTACTCTATACCTGCTATCTCAGGGTCATTAACAGAATCCCCCTCAGTCCCAAAACCCTCCCAACATGGACAATAAACCATATGGTTATCCTAACAATGTATACCCAATCTCCAGGAACAGAATTTCATAAATACATCTGACCACTGTCAAGATTCCTCAGAACATACTTGAAGAAATGCTGCATGAAATGGCAGAATAAAAGTTACAAAAGTCTCATTTATTCTTCTCCTACCCCCTTAACCCCCCATGTTGCCTCTCCACTTCCTCATATCAGGGAGATCATATGATAGTTGTCTTTCTCCGATTGACTTATTTCGCTAAGCATGATACCCTCTAGTTCCATCCACGTCGTCGCAAATGGCAAGAAGAATAAATGAAACAAGATGCGAGTGGGAGGGAGACAAACCATAAGTGACTCTTAAATTTCACAAAACAAACTGAGGGTTGCTGGGGGGAGGGGGGTTGGGAGAACGGGGTGGGGTTATGGACATTGGGGAGGGTATGTGCTATGGTGAGTGCTGTGAAGTGTGTAAAGCTGGCAATTCACAGACCCGTACCCCTGGGGATAAAAATATATTATATGTTTATAAAAAATAAAAAAAAAAGTTGCAAAAGTCATGGAAACCCATTATTTCTGAATTTTCAGGTGCAGAGCCTAGAACTGATCCCCCATGAATGGAGAATGTGAATTCAAATATCTATTATGGGCTGAGAGGTTTTTTTAAATAATAGAACCACTACTGTTGCTATTATTTTAATAGACAGCAGCCACGTAATGAAGTGTGCCTGTTAAATGAGCAATAAACAAAAGACCTGAAATCAAATAGAGAAAGAATATAAGGCTTGAACATACCCCTTAAAATGCAAAAACAATGGCTCAGTGCAATAGGGGGCAATCACACAGATTTGAGGAGGCTTTTAACTGACAAGAGAAATAATGAACAGTGTGATATGAGCACCACCAAAATAGTTGTTATAATTTTAAGTTTAATAAACCACACAATATGCAGAATGTGAATTTCAGTATTTCCATGTTACTGATCAGACGTAGGTAAGATACCATGTCCGACTGTGGGAGAGTATGGCAGAACAGAAATCACACTAGCTTGGCCGTCAGACTGTCCTGGAATCTTATCACCGCTCACAGGTCCACCATCAGTAGCTCTGTGACTACAGGAAAAGCACTGGACCTCTCTGAACTTAGCCTTCTCACCTTCGGAACAGAGTAATGGCACTACTAGCTAGATGGCCGCCCCAAGTACATGTGGGAATATCTGCTCAAGGCCTGACAAACGCATGTGGAAAGGGAACATGTTAGCTGCTACGGTTAACTGCTTTTATTACTAGTTTCTTACTCTCTTCAGAATAGTGTTTTCAGAACTGTCAAAGAAAAGATTAGCAAAATGCAAAAGGAAACATCCCCCTCACCTGTCTACTACACTCCCCGGCTGTACTTCCTTCACAAAGATATCAACTTGTCCCAGACTGTGACTTCTCAGGGCCACCACACTGAATCCAAGGCCTCCAGATGAAGGCCGTTCTATATCGATATATTCAATTTGCCGGCCCTAAAGAAGGGGGATAAAAAAAAGTCAATGAAGCAGATCTACCCAACCGTACCCTTTCCAAAGAACTGAAATTGCTATTTTTGTGAGCAATACAAAAAACAGCTTCTTCTAAGTCATCTCTGTCCAAAAAAACTTAGCATTTCAGCAATAAATTATTTCTGGAAATCCTCTCACTTGATTATTTTCAGTAGGACGTAAGAGGGAGTGTGCAGTGTTCTGCAACCTCAGGGAATCAGAGAGGAATTTTCACACTTCATTCACATTATGAGATGAAGCCCAAACTGGGTGAAAACTCCTGAGAAAAACAACTTTTTCCAAAGTAAGTTCTAAATTACTTTTTACACTGCATTTCTCTAAATTCTCCTCGTGCAAAAAACATTTTTAAATGAAGAAAGCAAAATAGATATCAAAAATATGCTAGTGTTCAGCCTAAGTTAGAACCAGCTGCATTTGTTAGGATCCTGTTTTTAATTTTATTGTGATGAATTAATATTCCATTTTATTAGGTTTATGGAAAGGCCCCCATTCAAATGGGCTATATGTGTAATGAACAAATATTTGATTGCTATAAAATAACTGCATTTATGACATGAGAACTTCATAAATGTAATCACATAACAAAAGCATCACATAAAAATAATTAGTAGTCAAATTAAGACGATAGACTTATAAAGTCAAAAAAGGAATTAGTATAGATTATTTAAATATTATACCTTAAACATATTCTTTTTGATCTTAAAACTCGACTTTCATTTTTTAAAGACACCTATTAGAAGATGAGTTGAACAAACACAAAACTAACACATCCAAAAATTCAACTGCCTATTTGATTTTTAATAGGTACTAGGGGTAAAACTGGATTACTCTCTCAAATGTTTCCTGAGATTTCCCAAATCATATTAACTCTAACTCCCATTAATTCTGTTTTGATAAAAAATTAAGAACAGTTTCAAAGGAAATTCTATCACTTCTTATACACATTAATTTTCCTGTGATCAAAATCATAATCTTTCTTTTCAAGTCCAGATATGTGTCAAATTGGAGTAATTATCTAAAAACTCCTTACCACATACAGATATTTTCCTTGAGTAATTTTAAGCCAATAAATTTCTATTTAGTATCAATCTCTCCTAACAAAATAAAAATGTGAGCAAACCACACAGAGTAGCAAATTTTAAGGCAAAAATAGAGTATTCTTCTTTTTAAAGAGGGAGTATTGTTTTCTTTTTTAACCTATAACAGGAGAAATACAGCTAAATAGTCCCATGACAAGATATAACTTTACCTGAGCCATCTGTTGAATGACTGAGTTAAAGTCTTCATTTGCCAACTTAGGAGTCCAAGGAAATAACCCAGAGACAGTTGAGTTATTAGATGGTCTTTGGGCATTCCCATTAGGAATGGCACCATCTGTAAACACTAATAAACCTTTCCTAGAAAAATCAAAGTTGGCTGAACAATCTGAGGGTATGTGGCTGAGCTGTTGAAGAGAAAAAAAAAAGAGAATCATTAGCAGAAACCTATAGAAAATAAATTATTTCTACTTATTAAATATTCTGTTTTATACATTACATGTATAATTTGCAAATTAAATATTTAGACATGAGAAAAACAAGACACAGATATGTGAATCTATGTGTTTGTTAGGCTATAAATTGTTTCATTTAGTATTACACAGAATATTTAATAGGTAAAATGTACTGCTTCCTGGGGCTCAGTCCATGGAGTGTCTGACTTTTGGTTTTGGCTAAGGTCAAAATCTCAGAGTTGTGAGATCACAGAGTCTGCTTGAGACTCTCTCCCTCTCCTTTCCTTCTCCCTCTGACCTCTCCCAGCTAATGTGCTCTCTCTCTAAAATAAATAAATCTTGGGGTGCCTGGGTGGCTCAGTGTTAAGTGTCTGCCTTCGGCTCAGGTCGTGATCCCAGGGTCCTGGGATTGAGCCCTGCCTATTTAAATAAGTACAACTTATATTCCAAAACCAAACACAACATTTATCATAAACAGTTTAAGTAAGCTATATGCCCAAAGTGGGGCTTGAACTCAAGACCCTAACATAAACGGTCACATGCTCTACAGAGTGGGCCAGCCAGGAAACCCCCATAAATATTCTTAAACTATCCACGCCAGTGCTACCTACAGTTCACAAATCCCAGTACAGTCTTCTTGCTGAATTAAGTGCACTTAGAGAGAATTTGTCAGTCTCTGTCTCCTTCCATGTCTCTTTGCTGGTTTGAATATACCAACACGTAAAACCCTGATGAGTAACTTACTTGCCCTTTCAGTTGCCTGATGGACTGCTGAAGTGTGAGTATCTGATTGAAGAGAGGGCTCTTTAGTGTCTCATAAAACAGAGAGAGCTTCTCATTTTGTGATGTATCTCCCTTCTCCTGCAGTTTCATTTTTAGGCGATCAAGAACTTGTAGGACCTGCAGTTTATCTTGTTTGAAGAAGGATAATCAGAGCACAAGTTAATCCCATTGTACCTTTCATTTCTGAATCAGTAATAAATTTACTGATAGAAGTACATATCTAGTATACCTGGAGCGGGATTTTCAGGCATTTTGAATGATTGTCTTCAATCCCTTTTAAAGAAACCTAAAGAAAAATTTTAAAACACAAAAGGTGATTTCCATTAGTGTATACTCATCTATAGTTCTGTAAAAAAATTATAGAAAATCTCAAGAACATGCTTCATCAAAAGGCTTCACTCAAATTCAAATTAAAACTAGAGTAACCCATTAGGTTGCCTCAAACTAGAAAAATAAACACACAATTTGCTGAGTGTTGACAAAAACATGAAGCAACTGGAACTCTCGACATCACTAGCAGAAACGCAAAATGGCACACGCGCTTTAAAAAGTTGTCTGGTAGTTTTTTAGAGTTAAAAATATACTTACCGTATGACTCAGCACTTCCACTCCTAAATCCTTACAAAGAAAAGTGAAAATACAAACTCACAAAAGACCTATACATGAATATTGGTAGCATTTTTATTTATAGAATGTAAACAGAATTCTTGGGAATGAAAGCGAAAAACAACTACAAATATACACAACATGGATCGATCTCAAAAAATACTATGTTGAGGGAAAGAAACTAAATAAAAAACGGTTATAGACTGTATGATTCCATCCACATGAAGTTCAATCTATAATTATAGATTAGTTTACCTCGGCAGGGTAGAAAGGAGCTGACTGGGAAAGGATTTGAAGGAGTTTTTTGGGGTGATGGAAATGTTCTAAGTTTCAAATGGGGTACTTTTTGTTTACACAGACGTATACATTTGTCCAAATTCATTGACTTACATATTTTAAATCAGTACTTTTTGTACACAAATTACAAATTATACTTAAAGTTGATTTTGTTTAAAAAAAAAAAAAAAGGATCCTGGGCTGGAAAAGAACATCTACATTAAGAGGTGAAGAAGATTTTAGAGAGATTAGGGAGAAAAAAAAAACCCTAAGCAGCATAGACAGTCCCAGATTCCTGCTAGTCAGCTGAGTCTCCAAAAGGTAATCACCCAACATATTGGCATTATCTCTATTTTTAATTCCAGTGATTTGTTCAAACTAACCTAAAATGTAATGTGATCACAACTCAAAATTCCAGCAAACCCTCTGCGAGGACCGAACCAGCACTTTCACAGTGGTCATTTATACTAATGGTACACCAGGCTGTAGAGAACCATCAAAGAAACAGGAGTACTATACAGTGAAAATTCTCTTACATCAACTCTGCATACAGTTGCTGAATGAGGTCTTCATCTTCTAGTTCAAGGTCACTAAGTAGGAAAGGGTATTAAAACCCAGTAAGGGATGCCATCTGCATTGATAAAAGGTCCATGTATTCCATCCAAATGTTCACTGAACTGCTAAACAGAACCGCTACTGATGAGCTCAGTGTCTCAACTGTGCAAATTTTACCACTACCCACTGACAGGTAACAGTAACAAAAAACCGTTACAATGGCACTATCCTTTTCTATAGTAGCCTAAGGTCAGAGAGGATTGACAAGAGCAGTTCTGCCTGTGGTCATTAATAGATCAACCTCTCTGAAAGAAAGAATGCAAGCTAAAACTAGGAGATGCAATTGTTTTACTCTCAGACTGGCAATTTTTTAAAATTAATAATAGCATGTATTCTAGAGGTCAAGAAAAAACAAGTGGGAATATAAATTTGCACAATCTTTTAGGAAGCAACTTTAGCAACAGCTATCGATACATTAAATTTGCATTCTCTTTTACCCAGAAGAGCTACTTCTGAGGGTCTCCCTAAAAGAAATACAATACAAATACAGATGTATTGTACAAGGATATTTACTTCATTGTTATGAACAAAACTCCAGGAAAAATTAATCTGGCAAAAGCAATCAGGCATTCTAATAAAGTAGGTCTGAATCCACTGAAATGAGAAGGGGAGAGAATCAGTTAACGGTAAGCCTGTGGCTCTCTCCTTCAGGGAAGGATTCCCAGCTTGATAACCAGAACCCCTAGCAAACACCCTAAAGGTTTTTGATAGATAATAGCCCCTCATTTTTAAATGTCAGGAAATGTCTTAATTGCTTTTTGTAAATAATCTGAAAATGGATGGATTTATGGGTCATGGCTAGAAGATACATAGACATTTTCTATTTGTGTAACTAATGGAGTATAAAACTCAGGATTCCCCAAACACAAAAGGTTTCCTTTGAGAAAAACATTTCTATATATATTGTTGAGAACCTATCTAGTAACCCAAAACAAAAATGTGTCCTAAGGTTGAATTTTACTCCTGTAAGCAAATTAAAAATTGTGGTTAAAGTCTGTCAGAAATATATTTATAAATGATTTAATGTCAACCTACATGTAACTAGGTATTTTAAGTGTGTCGATAATGTCCTAAGAAGAAAAGTGCCATTTTTCGGCTGGGTACTCCTCTAGCAAGGAATGTCTGTCCCAACCTCCTGCCTGTAAGCACTGAATCATGAGTATGGTTTGGTGCTCATTCGGTGAGGTTTGATCTCATTCACATGAGAATGCTTTGACAATTCAATCCTCTATGTTAATACAAGGACATTATCTAACAGGCACAACTGAATAGGGAAAAGAACAAGTTTCAGGGTATGTGCATTATCTGCTTTTTATTTTTTTATTTTTTTTTTAAATTTTATTTATTTATTTGAGAGAGAGAGAGATCACAAGTAGGCAGGGAGGCAGGCAGAGAGAGAGGGGGAAGCAGGCTCCCTGGTGAGCAGAGAGCCAGTGCGGGGATAGATCCCAGGACCCTGAGATCATGACCTGGGCCGAAGGCAGAGGCTTAACCCACTGAGCCACCCAGGCGCCCCTATCTGCTTTTTATAAGAAAAAAATATGTGTAGGTTTCTAGATTGAGAAAGATAATTTCACAGTAATTAACTTCTGGAAAGTAGGGCGCCTGGGTGGCTCAGTTGTTTAAGCGACTGCCTTCGGCTCAGGTCATGGTCCTGGGATAGAGTCTCGAATTGGGCTCCCTGCTCAGTGGGGAGTCTGCTTCTCCCTCTGACTCTACACCCCTCGTGCACTCTCTCTCTCTTTAAAATAAATAAATAAAATTTTAATGAAAAAAATTCTAGAAAGTAGAAATGGGGATAGGAGATTTAAAAAATTACTTTAACTTTACAGATTTTAGTACTGCTTGAATTTTAAAAGCATGTCTTATTTTGTAACTTAAAAACTAAAAAAGGCAAAAAGATAATGGCTGAGAGGTCTAATGAGAGAGCAAGCAGACACAAAGATAATGATAACACAATAGGATAATTATATTCTAAGGCATAACCATCAATTGCAGTGGTGTGGGCCATGGGCTAAGTGAAATCACAAAGAGAGACGGACTAAATCTGCATGGGGATGTTTGGAACACTGGCAAGAGAACACCTCAGAAACTTCTCTCACAAAAGAGAAAGAATGTGGTGTAAAAGGAGTGGTCATTTGCCCTCATTTGCCTACAACAACCTCAGATTACCCAGCATCATTATGGATGCTCTTCCATTTCACTCCCAAAACTGTTGCAGTTATGAATGGATAGAAAAGAAGTGGCATATATATATAACAGGTATTATTCAGCCATAAAAAAAGAATGAGACCTTGCCATCTGTGACAACATGGATGGACCTACAGGGTATCATGCTAAGTGAAACAAAACAAAGACAAATACCATATGATTCCACTCATTTGTGGAACCTAAAAAAAACAAAACAATGAGTAATCCAAAAAAAAAAAAAAATCTCTTAAATACAGAGAACTGATTGTTGCTAGAAAGGAGGTGGGTAGAGGGATGGTTGAAACAGATAAAGCTGATTAACAGGTACAAACTTCCAGTTATAAAATTTTTAAAATATTTTTTAAATTTTTTTTATTAATTATTTTTATTAACATAGAATGTATTATTTGCCCCAGGGGTACAGGTCTGTGAATCATCAGGCTTACACACTTCATAGCACTCATCATAGCACATACCCTCCCCAATGTCCATAACCCAACCACCCTCTCCACAACCCCACTCCCCTCAGCAACCTCAGTTTGTTTTGTGAGATTAAGAGTCTTTAATGGTTTGTCTTCAAAATTTAAAAAAAAATTTTAAGTATCACAGTTTGAAAATCATGTAGGGCTACCCTGGGTAAGTGGTTCTCAAATTTTAGCATGCATCAGAATTACCAGGAAGGCTTGTGCAAACGCAAGTTGCCAGGGCGCCCCCCTCCCCGGAGTTTTTTGTTTGTTTTTGTTTTTTATTTGACAAGAGATCACAAGCAGGCAGAGAGACAGGCAGAGAGAAAGGGAAGCAAGCTCCCTGCTGAGCAGAGAGCCCAATATGATAAGGGGCTCAATCCCAGGACCCAGAGACCATGACCTGAGCAGAAGGCAGAGGCCCTAACCCACTGAGCCACCCAGGCGCCGCCCACCCCACCCACCATCCCCCGCCAGAGTTTTTGATTCTGCAGGTTTGAGGTGAACCAGAGAATCTGCATTTCTAACAAGTTCCCATGGGATCCTGACACTGCTAGCCCAGAGACCACATTCTGAGAACTACTATATACAGGTGTAAAAGCTCATGAATTTCTATGAGACTATTAATTAGCTTTAAATGACCTAGGTATCTGAAAATAGGACAAAAAAAAAAAACAAACCCCAGTGTTGTTTTTGTGTGTGTGGTTTTTTGCTTTTGTTTTGTTCGTTTGCAAGTGTAGACTGCAAATTGATGCTTGGCTCACAAAGAGATAAGTCCCAAAATTGGGAATAAGCATTTAGAAACCACATAATGTGGCAGAGTAATGTTGATCTATCCAATTTAGTAATAAAACCTTGACTTACTTTTTATTTCTTTTTTTAATTTCATTTTTCTAACAATTCCTTTTTCTGACAACTGATTACAAAATACTGATCACAAAAATATCAGTCCTTGGAAGACTGTGGGTGCAGGGGAACCCTGATCTCTTACCACTGACAGCTTAAGAAGCACAGACTTAAATAGACTTTGAGAGGGTCCTTGTAAGTAATGCGAAGTAGACTGGTCTTTATCCTGTAGGCAACAGGAAGTAATTAAAGGCTTTTAAATTGGGAGGTACTGAGTCCAGATTTCTAT